AACTTTTACTATCTAAAACGAAATCTCAAATATAGTCATTTACACATAAACTGGTCTTTGACTTTTGAATATATAAAACTTAGCATTCCTACTGAAACTTCATTAAAGAATCCCGAGCGCACTATAGAATACTCAAATTCCTTTTTGAACAAATTCCAGCAATTGAATTTTTAAAAGTAACTCAACCTAAACTTTATAATTCTTCATGAAATGCTGTCATTGTCTTACTGAAAATGAAAATTTTAATTATATATGGACTTGTATTAAAATCAAAAAAGAGATTAAAGATATAATCATGGAAGTTTTAAATGTACTCAAACAATAAATCTTTATTTAAACTTCTAAAACATTTTACCCTCAAAATATCGCCTTACTTTTTCTTCCTTCACACCCATATTGGTCTTTCAAGGCAGATCCATACAATTTCATATTTATAGATTTCATTAAAGGCATCATTTCTACCGCTCTTCCCAAACTGCTTAACTCCTTCACTAATTCTTCAGTATTTACATCTAAAATTCTATCTTCTTTTTACAACTACATTTTTGAACAAACTTATGAAATTATCTAGAAATCTAGATGTAAAGCTACTATAGATAAGGAATGATCTCTTAACATCTCGTAATATAATAAAAAACTTAATTACAATTCCTCACACTATTTTACTATCAACAGTTTTTCTAACTCTTTTTTTTCTAACAATGTTCTGAAATATAATCACACGTCTTTAATGACCAAATCTTATGTTCACAATCAAAAATGGTCTCTACTTATAACACGGTAATAACTATTTGTTAAATACTTATTCTTTTTAGTTAGGTGGCAATGATAATTCTCCTAGTGATTATTATCAGAGCCTGACAGGACAACTGGTTGGTCTGATTGGAGTTAGTTTACTAATAAGGATAATTAAGCAGCATTTTTTATTTTTTCTACTTTTGTATCCCTTTATATCTGGAGATTTTCATGTTTATTTTTATTTTTAACTGATTATGAATTGTACTAATAAATAAATGCATTACAAAAAAAAGCTGATCCAAAATCAATGAATGTTAGCTCATTGGATTCGTCTAGTCGCAGAGAATCGAATGGTAGTTGTTGTATACGAATTGAAGCAATATTAACTGAGATCATACATTTTTTGTTTTTTTTATTTTTTCTATATATAAAAATCATGTGATATGATGTCATTTCGACCATTTTGACTTTTCATTTCAACTTTTGGGTTTTCATTTCGACTTCATCTATAATAAGAATTAAACCAAAGAAATGTATTTTAATAGAAACTAATATATTATATCTAATTATATAAATATTATTATAATTTACTTTATATTAAATTTATTTCTTATCAAATAATTCTAATTATTCTATTATATTTTCTTTAAATTGATTTAAAATTATAGGTATATTAAAAATAATTATTGCTTAAAAATTACTTATATTTTTTTTTATTATATAATTATTACATTATAACTATATAATAATTACTAATCTTCTATTTATGACATAATATCTTTTGTTAATCATTATATTTATTTGAAATTTTTAGATATTAATATTATATTTTATAATATAAATATTATTAATTAGTATTTAATATAAAACTAATCTATTATAGTAATAGATAGTCTCTTAAAGTAAAAGATACAATTAATTAGCTATGATTATATTTGAATTAAATTCCAATAAAAGTAAAAATACTTTACTATTAATTCAAAATGATTAATTATTAAATGAATATTTTGAGACAATAAAAAAATATACTTAAGAATTGGATTTGAACTTGTGTAATAAAGAGATCAATAATCTATCTTTTGATAATAAAAAAGATGTAATCAGGTTTAAAATAATAATCCTTTAAATAAGTTACATAAAAAATTAGGTAGATAAAGAATACCACTTATATGTATAGATGAGAAAAATTACCTGAAAGAATAGTTAAAATAGGATAATAAATTAGTAAAAGAATTTTACGAAAAGGTAGGAAAGCTTAATAACACATTAGATAAGATAAAGAAGATCTTAAATATAATTTTCTTTCAGATAGAAGTAAAAGTAATATTATATAGAGTAAAACTTCTTTAAGATGATTTAGTAAATAGGCTAGAAGTACTAGAACTTGCTGATTAATTTATTTGTTTTGATCAAAGATATGGCATATAAAATATATCACTAAAGTGGTAAGCTATCAAAAAAGTCATCCAATAATATGTTTGATCAAAGTTAACAAGCCAATGTCTTAGCTGAAGATACTGATAAATAATTAGTTGTTTAATTAATGAGATTAGGCAAAAATAGTATTATAGTATATATAATACTTTTAAAGTAAATCAGAAAGTTAGAATAAAAATCAAATGCTTATCAATCCTAATACAAAAAGTTACAATAGAATGTTAAAATTAATAATGCTATTTGAAATAAAGATGATGCAAGCAATTGATTTCAAATTTACAAAATGTTGCAATATAAGCTAAAATTAGTTGCAACATATGTTATAACATTATAAGTTGCAACATATATAGGTTAAAACTAATTGTAACATAAGTTGCAACATTAAAAGTTATAACGTATTAATTACAGTTCCCATCTTTAGTTTGAAACCTATTTTAATGTGTAGCTTAAAATTTAAAAATTTTTCTAAACCTTTAAAATGATCTAAAACTTGATTAAACTTGATTAAACTTAATTGAGTTTAGGAAAATCTAGTAGAAGTTTAGGTAAAGATATTTATTATAAACAAATAGTTTAATCTCAAATATCTCGAAACTCAAATTTTCTAAAAATAGTTTAAGGAGGCATTTTTAGTTAAAATATTAAAAGATATTGTAGACAGGATTGGGAAATACAGTATTAGTACAATGATTAGTACAATTAGTACAGTTAGTACATTATAATAATTAATATAAAAATTAGTACAAGTACAGTGTTAAATTTATCTAGTACATACAAAATTCCCAACCTTTGGTTGTAGATAAGCTGGACTAAATGTGAGCTTGTGGATAAGGATATTATAATCAACTTAATAAGTGATACAGTTCCCTTGGAAAATTGCAAGTGTCAGAATACTAAATACTCCAGTTCATCTGATTCAGAAACATCAGGTAAAGCTGTTTTCTTTAGGAAACCATGTAAGTATTATACTAGCAAGAATCAGGCGAAAGTAATAGATTGCATTAAAAAATAATAATTAACCATTTTGATCTAACTAGTCTGAAGCAATGATTACTAGCTCAGAAAAAGGTATTTTTTTTATTTGAATATGTAGAATATAATACATATTCATTCGAAAAAAAAGATTAAGCTCCCAGACAGAAAAAAAAATGTTATGAGCAATCAATGTCTTCGGGCATGTTTGGGTTATTATCCCGAAGATCTTTGATCGAGGGGAGCGAGGGGAGCACTATAAAAGCAGGCTGGACGAATCGTGTAGACAAGAAGTATTGGCAAAGCTAATATATCCAATATTTCGGGTTCGAAACAAAGCAAAAAAAGACAAACCTCCGAAATCTGACAAACCGTCTCTTGTCACATGAAGCTTGCTTATAATATCTTGAAAACCTCTCGTGAAATTGTGCGCATAAATCAAATATTAAAGTTTTACGCGTTTTATATGAATTTTCATTATTTTTTCTAATTGTAATTATCTAATATGTCATTGTTATGTTTGATGATGCAATGAATCAATTGATTTTGTTCGATAAGTTAAATTATGCGCGAACCAGGACTCGCCGAACAAGGTTGAAGGATGGACACAAACCTTTGGAGAATTCCCGAGAGAAGTTTGTCGTATTAGACTTTGTTCTTTTACCTCTCCACTTTGATAATTAATAACAATTCAAGATTGGAGCACGCTTTCGTTTAGTAATATTTCTGTTTTAGTGTTTCAATCGACAATATCCAATCATTTGAATTAGTTTCTGGAAAATTCGGTACATGTCGATTTATTAATAGAAAATCGAACAAACAACTACATTATATCATTAATCAAGAATTACAAGAATGACTGTTAATTATATTCATGGATTCATTTATTCACGTTAAAAAGATCCATCTAATGTATGATCCCAAGGAACCTAAATATACGATAACAATGGAATTCAGTTTGAATGGATCTTCCACATTAAAGATTCCATGTGAGAGTTTGTACTTATGTACTTTTCATAAGAAGCTGACGTTTCGAAATTACCAAGCATAACATACAAAGATACCTTACGTCAGATGAGCTTGAGTCATGAGGTACATGAGGTAGATCTTTTGGAAAATTTTCATTCAAAAATTCCGAATGTGTTCCGAAAATATATATTAATAAAAAAAAAAAAAAATTAAATCGCAAACGTAATGAACTCATGAACGGAATGCAAATGAAAATATTTCAAGAAAGGAGGAATCAGTCGGATGTATTTAAGCCGTCCAATGCCGATTAATTTAATTATACAAAATACTTTAAATAGGATTTTGAGAATGAGATCATGAGAATAGAATTGAATCCTAGTTCCGGAATTTTTTTATGTAGGTAAATGAAAAAACCGACTCTGTTTCTTTATTAAATTGTGTCACATATTTGTATAAATCAGTATTATACAATGTTTAATGTAAAGTAGGATCAAAAATCAAAATTTTTTCAATACCCGACATTTCATCATCCAACGAATTAAATGTTAATAATAGCAATAATTCCTTCATAGAAGTTGACTTAATGAATGTAATGCATTATGTACATATATAAAGTAAAATGATGATGATATGTAATGCCACAGTAAGAACCTTTTCCAAGAAACATTTTGTCAAGATTGCTTGATTCGTGCATGAATGAAAACAAAAATATAAATAGGGCAGCTCAAAAGTTTTTATGATTAAATCCTATTAAGAAAATTGATAAACGTGGAGACAATTTTACCTTCTTAAAGGCCAAAAAAAAAATAATAATTTCAACGCATTTACAAAAATGTTTGATTTACCTTTAGAATTTTCTCTGATAATAACACACAAAATTCAAAATGAAACAGATTTTAAGGTCACTTAAGAAATATCTAAATAGGTTAATAGATTTTTTCAAAAACTTACAATCATCAACACGCGTTTCTTCAATAACAGATTCTATTTCAGCAAATCATAAAAATATTGATATGGTATTTTCGAATGGATTCACAATCACAATTAAAACCCCATCATCTAAACAAACAAAATCTTTATTAAAAAAACATCTCATAAAATTGGAAGGAGCGTTTGATCTGTATTTTGAATTAATAAAAATTAATCTAACCGAAGAATTGTCTAAAGAGTTTTCATATGAGCTGGCTTATATTGCTGCTAAAGCTTGGAGGGACTCAAACGTTCACTTTCGTGAAAACTTTGAAGAATTATATTATGAATTAGATTTAAATGATACATAACTATCTAAAATAATAATTATAATAATAATACACATATTAATTCGCTTTCTATTTCTTATATTTATCCGTTTATTAAGAACATTCTAATAGAGGAAGATAGAAATTTTAAAATAATATAAATATTAGAATATTTAGAATATTATTATAGAATTCAAACTTATATATACCATTTCATAGAATCAGACAAATATAGAATATTTTCATTATTTTCATTAATTAGATACATTATATTTACTTTTTAATTGATCTTTTGATTTGCGCCTCACAATAAAATTCGATGATTGCATTTTACTTTCAACTTTGTAATCCAAAGTCGCATATTAACCACCTCATGTCGATCCTATTCATGCATTACGCCGATCCTATTATAAATCATAATAGAATGATAGGCCAAGCCGCCCAAGATAACATCATGAGGGGACTCCAAAATCCGGTAAATATAAGGGATGAGTGCGCCACGGTATATCTATATTTAGTGTTACAAATGAATGATTTAATCGTAATAAATTAGGTACTCAATAAAATAAATATAGACAAAATAATTTGTCATAAAAAAAATATATTTCCTAAAATTAAAGAAGTTTAATCAAGTTCCAAAAAAAGTAAATGTTAATCAAAGGATATGCTAGCTAATCGTGAATGATGTCATGCAAATCTTTTTCCTGATTCATCTAAAAATCAAACTTCATCTACAAATATGCAATTAATTTAATTAATTTGAAACCTGCATGAAACTGTTTTAAAATGGTTACACCCTCTTTTCATTGAAAAATAAAAAAATCCCTCTTTAATAGTTGGCGCAATGAGCCAAAAATGGGTACAAAATAAAAATAAAGTTTGATCCCTTAATTAGAGCAGATCATTAGATTAAAAAAATAATTTTTTCATTAAATAAATTTTGACTCGCGCTACTTAAATTAAAAAGAATCCCATAGAATTTTATTTATCAAATGTCTTTTTTTAAAAAAAAAAATCTTCCAAAAATTAACCGAATTCAAAGTACAAAAAGTTCGTTGTCTAGTCTAATTGTTCTTTTAATAATCTTCGATATCAGGAGCAGGTGGTCCGTATACTTGATTACACCTTTCTTCAAAAGCATCAACCATCAACGCACTAACTTGGTCAAAGAAAACATTAGCAACTTGAGCATGTAAAGGCGATGTGAACTCAAATTCTAAATGAAAGTCCAAATAACAATGTGTTGACGGTAATTCATTATGTGGTGAAAATTGCCACACGGTTATTAAATGGCTAAATAATGCATCCGACGATGCCACCGCCTAATTGTGAAAGGTAAAATTAATTATATGTACATTATATATATATATAAATTTTGTTTTAATTACCTGAACAAATCTTGGCCTTTCACAGGTGACTTCAGATAAATACGTCTCCGAGAATCCTTTAAATCCTACACCTAATGCTGCTGTAAGGATTTTTGTTCTTTTATCAACATATTGTGACTTTAATACTTCTGAATTTGTACAGTATGGGATGAAAAGGTGATATTCGTCAATATTTGACACAACATCATAAAGCTGTTTCTGTGTATATCTAATTTTTATGGTATAAAAAAATATGTATTTTAATGAATAAAAAGGAAATGTTTCTTGCACCTAACAAAAAAGGTTAATACCATTTGATGACACAAACCCAACAACTTTATGTCCGTTATAGGATTTTTTTGATGATAAGATATCAGAGAATCCAAAAAAATTTCGCCGTTGCTTTTTAGGGGTTGAAGTTGGAAAAGGTTGTTGTGAAAAGAAAAATGGTCGTGATCTTGATATCGGTGAAAAAAATCTTTTGAAATTTAGTGAAGGAGGTTTCTTTAGTGGAGAACTTAATGCATTTGCTAATTTTAAATATGTTTTATGAAACATCTTTGTCCTATAATTTATATATATATATATTTTTTTTATTATATTTAAAAAAAAGAAACCAGTTTTCTAGTTTGTAAAGTCGATAACCTAAAATAGAAATATGAAAAATTTTTTTTTTTTGTTCAAGGCGAAAAAAAAAAAAAAAAATAATCCGGAAGAGAGAGAAAATTTTTCTAGAGTAGAAACATTCGGATCAATTTATTTATAACTTTTTATATTATCGGGGATGAAGAAACTTATGCATAATGGCATGATGATAAAAATATCTATCATAAATATTTATTTACCTCTCATTTTTTTCTATAAAAAAATGGACCCCTTACAGTGCCACGATCTCACATGATACAAAAAAAAACTACAATGTTCGCGTGACATTACTAGGGAAACTGTACAATTTAAAAAAATTATTAATTCATAGAAAATTTTAGTTAAATAAATATAAAAATTTCTTTATGCTTATAGATGAGCAGGGTGGACATACTTATATCACATGTCGATCATTTTGCCGATCATATTTTGTATTATCACATCAGCGTTT